TTAGATATTTTATTTTTAAAAAAATAAAATTGTCTTTTCCATATGAGTTGTGCCATTTTTTGAAGGATTAAAAAATAATGACATTTTTTTTGAAGATTTTGCCAAATAAATAGCATTTTTGACAATTTTCTTTTTTATTTATACATGAGTTTACTGCTATGCGGATATGCATAAAATAATCATTGATTTTTCTTGAGAATGCACAGCTGTAAATTTTAATTCATTACTTTCATTTGAAAATTGTTTTTTAATATTTTTTATTACTTTTTTTTAACTATAGGATAATCCAGACTTTTACTATCCGACTAATCCTCTATAGTAAGTGTAGCGGTTGAATAGTTCACTCACCAGATTTTATAATGGCTCTAAAGTGTGACACCATTTCGATTGCTTAAATGAGAATATATACATAATTTCGTGCTTGAAGAGAATTGAACTTCAGTCTAGACTCACAGAGCAACTCCATTTCATTATAAATATAATTTTAGAAATATATAGTATATGAGTTTATTTCTCCAATTAATATGTTTATATTTTTAATATATAATACAGTGAAACCAAAAAAAAATTATTTAAGCCGTTTGCAACAGTTTAAAGAAGTTTAGAACAAAACGTGAATGATAATCAATACTCCACTGACAATATAGTATATTTAAAAATATAGAATAGGTAATACTCTTATAGTACGTTCTAAAAATACTAATACGTATTCTCTCCGTTCTTTTGATTTTTTAAATATTTTACCTCTAATTAATGTATTTTTTTATAAAATGAATTTCATTGATACTAATATGATTTAATTGTCTTGAAAATTGACAAATTGTAGTATTAAAAATTGTTGGAATTTTTTTTATTATATGCGCAACACCCAAAAATCATTATTCTCTAAAGAAAGAAAAAGTTTTTATTGTTTTTTTTTATCAAAAGGGAAAAGTATATTTATTTTATCAAACATATGTAAGACAATTAACAAAGTTTTGTCTTCTAAATTTACTCTTAGGAATCAGGAAGCTACATCAACACTATTTATGTGTCTTTTATTTTAACATATAAGTGAGGTTATATAGTTTAGTTTTTCTTGTTACCCTTTCACATTAATATACTATATTGAAATGCATAATAAAAATTGAGGCAGTCCAGGAGGTCGCAGATCACCATCTTAGAAGTTTTTAGAGATCCATCTCAGAATCCTCCTCTTCTCTATCGTAAGTTTGATCATTGTGGTCGCGGTAAACAACCACAATCCTCTTTGTTAACTAACTCTCAAGTTCCATAAGGAGAACTCCTTATGATCATATTTTTATTCTTCTCTCGTACGGGTGTCTTCTTCTCAATTATAAGATTCATTCTAACAATTGTAAACTTAATGTTATTTTTAAATATAATGCATCAATTTTTTTCTAAAAAAAGAAATGCATAATCAAAGAAATTACAAGTTTTGATTTTGGGGATCATACATTTTGATAAAAGAACTTAGAGAACAATAAGATTAAGAATACAATTAAGCTAGTGATATAGCTTTTGAAATACTAATTAAAGAGAAAGTGTGGAAGGAGCTAGAGAGAAACTCACTCGAGATCTCTAGTTCAAAGGTCCACGACTGCTACGGCCTTCTCGATCACGACTTATTCGACCACTAATCATCATCCACTGTATTTTTTTGTGCTTTTTAGTAGATTTTATTGGCCATTTTCTTAGGATTTTCTCGAAAAATATATCAACCAAGTCGTAATTTGACAAAATTCCATTTTATCCAAGAAATTTCTTTCACATCTAACCCGAGCTACATTCTCATTAACCATTGATGAAGATAGTGAGGAGGAGGAGTTGAGAAATTGATGTTAGGATTTGTTACGCGTGCATCGTTGAATATAAATCCAAATATTGATATACGGACTTGCCGTCGGGAACACTAATACAAATTAATAAATTTAGGGTACATAAATACTCTATATGTTGACTCAAATAAATAAATTTATCTTGGAGCAAAATCTATCGACTTATAAAAAGTATTGATAAATTTATACTTTCTCTTGGTAAAGTATCTATCTATATTATATGTTCGTTATTAAGTCAAAAGAGTACAATGTTAGGTAGTTAGTAGCATGATTAAATTTTATGGTTTAATTGATTGTGAAGAAATAACAGTCTGTCAAAGTGCAGAAGTGACTGTGTACATTACAATATTGGTTGATTAGTTGGCTGTAATACACGGTTTAACAATAAATCGAATAAAAATAAAAGTGATTAGCTAATGACGAATGAAAACACAAAATATCTAAATCGAGACTTCATAAGAAGATAACAGCTAGAAATATATATGTTATTCAACTGTATAAGCAGGTTCATGATATTCATACAATTGCTCGTTAGAAATTTACTAATTTTTTTGGTTAGAA